GGTTTTAAACATGGCTCTGAATAAATCCTTCCTGACCCTCCATCTGAATTCCCAAGCAGTTTACCCAGAGACTCCTTACATTCCTTGGGTATGTTTAGCATTGGTTCAAGTTTTTTTTATATAAAAGCAAGTGGGTTTTTTTCATTGATCTGCCTCCTGAGGAACCAGATAAAGTGTCAATAGGCAAACTGTGTTTTCTTTACAGTTATCTGAGTGATTGTTTCCTCCTGTTTTTCTCTGGAAATGTCAGTGTATTTGGTAGTTTTCTTTTTTTTTTTGTTTAATTTTTTAAAGTCACCTTTCATTTGGTCTATCTGGCTGATGAGTGCCAGTAGGGATTTTATCTGAAATGTGTGAAGCTGCTGAGGTTCTTTTGGGAATACAGAGAAGTGAGATGAAGGTTTAGAAACAGTTGGGGTATAGTTGTTTCTTAGAAGTAGTTAATTTCTCTGCTATTTTATCCTTTCTCTTGTTTGAAAGGTTCATTTTCACAAAAATGGGCAATGTCCTCATTTAATGTATAGAGATGAGGTTGTCTCCCTCCCTGTTTTGGGAACTCACTTGTTCCAAAGTGATTTAACCTCAATTGATAATTTTTGTTGGCCACACCTGTAGTGAGTAGCTCAGCTCATTATTGCCTTGGCCAGTCCAATTTTTCTGTGCATATTTGTGACTGTGACTATCATGTGTAGCTTTGAGCACATACTCTGAGGGTTTTCTCCTGAAAATTTCCTCCTCTAACACTCTAAAAGCAGTTTATAACCATCTGTGACTCAGCTTATTTCTTCCATAGCACTTTAATAAAACACAGGACAGAGAAGTCATATTACCTGTCCAAATGCATATGACAGAAGCTTTGGAACTGGTTATTAAACATTGATCCATGATTAGTAGCTGTTGATTTTATTTTAACTAGATAACAGCAGGAATGGATATGAAACAAATAGGAGGGAGTTAAGATTGACTATTGTGAAAAATCCCTTAATAGTGGAGTTTTGCTGTGCTGCTGAATTCTTTGTTGTACTAGTGAGACTTAAAACAATTCTGAACTGCAAGCTGAAGACATCCTTTAATGTGATAATGAAAATCAAGCCCCTAGATTGGTGTTGGAGTTTGTTTGTGCTATTATGCTGATGGTGATGTTTTGTATAATTAGTGGCTAAATGCTAACTGTGAAGGAATTTAAAGACTCACTGTTTTTCCACTTACTTATTGGAACATCTTTTTTAATTCTTCAGTAAACAACTTATACTGATAGCACAAATATATTAAATAAATGCAAGTTTAGTTTTGCTTAAAAGGTGCTGTTTTGATTTACCCGTGAGCTTTTTTCTTCCTGAACTCTCTCTGGTCTCTTTCTAATTGCTCTTGAGTTTCCCTAAACTGTAATATAAGAGTCTGTATCCCAAAGTTGAATTAAATTTTATTTTGATTCTGTGATGATCTGCATGTTGGGAAGCTTTGAGTCCAAAATCATAAAGCTTTAGGCACTCACAACCCCATTGGGCTTGAATGTGGGTTGGGATGTTTAACTCAAAGACTGTTTCATTTAAGGAAAGACTTTTGAACATGTTTTGTGATACATTATTATTCATTTGTGCTTACTTACCTTGCACATGGGTAGTACTTGGTGACAAATCAATTTCTGTCTACCTTGTCTTTAATTTGTGTGTTGTAGAATCACAGTCTGGGTTGGGTTGGAGTCTGAGCAATGTAAACTGTGAGAATCAGCCTCAGTTTGTGTCAAGAGGAGAGAAAATCACTTGTACTGTGGTTTACCTTTGATGTCTTAACTCTTGTCCACTTAAATTCTTCATGAGATGCAAAAGTTTTGTGAGAATTGTCAGGAGTGAAAAATTAAACAAGAGTTTTGATCATGTTTGCTAGGTTTGCCTGCTTGTCTGAGACTTTTGACTGAAAAATATGAAACTGCAAATTAAAAACCAGCCACAGATTACTAATGGAACACTTCATTATCTTTTGATATCTTTCTCTGAAGGATCTGTGGACAAAAGGACAGTTTAATTTGACATCTGCTAATTTCATGTCAGCCAAGAAAGCAGTTACTGCCTTGTGTAAAAAAAAAAGTTGTTCATACAGAGTATTGGTATGAAAATGTCAGGGAAATTCCAATTATTGGAGGAGTTCTATGTGCCAGTTGTACATAACACTGATGGGTATAGGTAAAACATAGAGCTATTCATGATAATTAAAGATGAAAGGCCTATTAAAAGAAACCATATCCCTTTTATTGTCAAGATAGTACTTGCTAAGGTTTGAAGATGGCATAAAAATGTATTTCCCTTAAATTTTCTACTGTCTTCAATTCTGTCACTCCAAACACATTGGAAACAGTGAATCTATTTAATTGAATTCTTTCATGCAGAGTTTCGGTCTAGATTTGTTTTTCAGTTAAATGGCTCAGATTAAAATAGTCTAAAGTAACACCATAAATTTTGGAAGTTGAGGAACAGCTATTTAGGGCTTGGTTTAACCATGATGTGAGATGAGTGAACGTGAGTCCAGAGTAGCTGGAGTGCTGGAGCTCCATCTAGGGAGGGTTGGTGACCCAGCTGGAACCCACAGGTCAGGATTTGGGGGCGCACCAACATCTCTGACAGGGCTGTTGTGCATTTCTGCTGCAGGCACCTGCCTCAGCAAGGACCAGGAGGACTTCATTCCCCCCAGGTCCTCCTGGAGGGACAGCACAGCTGGGAACATATCAGGAGTTCCAGGAGGTTTCTGGAGAGCTTTGATAACTTCCAAATGCAGCTGTGTGAGGAGCTGACAACAGGAGACCCTGCTGAGCCTCATATTTGGGAACAGGAACTGGTCAGGCCCTGGCAGCTCCCTCTGGGGAGCAGCTGAGGGAAGAACAGTGGCTGTTGTTTATTTCTGGATACAGCATGGGCTGCAATAAGACACAAGGCTGGGCACAACCCAATTTCCTTAACCATTGGAGTTGGCATCACCCATTGCCAACATCCAATGCCATCATCATTTGGGCTTGGAAATGCAGTTTCATTGGATTAAAGTTTGCCTTTCTCTCCCTCCATACAGTCAGAAATGTAGATATCTGCTTTAGGTCAAAGTCTTTGAGGATGATGAAGTGATGCTTCTTGTAGTGTCCTAAGCTTGCTTTGAGATTTGAGAATGGTAGCAGAGTGAGTTCATATAATTAGGTATAAACAATGGAAAAATATTAATAAAGAAATTACCTGCAAAGGAAGGAAAAAATATTCTTAATGTTTGGCTTCATGTCAGTCTAAATCAAATGGTCTAATTAAAATAAAGACTTATTAACAAGAGTTTCAATTCAGACTGAAACAGGAAATGGGTACCAGTCTTTTCTTACTGCTTCCAGGGAAGAAATTGGTATAGACCATTCTGAACTGGTTTAATAAACCAGACATGGCTTAGGCATGCACTGAAACTGTTTCTCTTGGTACTTGTCTGTATTTCTTTATTTTACTACCATGGGCATTTGCTTTTTTATTGCTTGGAAGTGTTATGTTACTTAGAGCTCTAAGTCCTATTCTGTGACATAGGTAGTGTGGAAATTATCATGATTTGGCTTCAATATTAAAGAACTGGAACAAAAAAGCTGTGATTATGTTTCATATTTCCTTCTCTGTGATGAAAAATGGAGCTCAAACTGTCTAAATTGGCATTTTATTGGTGTTTTTCTTAAAATATCAGTGACTTCTAACACTCGAAAAAGCATTCTTCCAGGGTATGGTAGGCGTGAAACACTTCTTTGATAGATATGATTACTTGAGATATGAATGCAGAAATATTTCTTTTAATCTTATTGAATATGCTTTGGGTTTTGTAACAATTTAGAAAGCTGAATTTGCATGCAAGAAAGAAAATATTGGTAGTGGCTACTTAGTCTCATGTTTGGTAGTACAATAATTTTAGCTTTTTTTCTGGTTATGTTTACTATTTAGAGCATTTCTTAATAGTTGCATAAAAATACCACTTTAATCTTGTAAAAAATTAGGAAATTAAACACTTTTTTATTATCAGAACAAAAATATAAAATTTCCCCTCAAGATACTTAAAATATGTGGAGAAGATGGCTTATTTCACTTTTTGAATGTGTTGTGCATATCACCAACAATCTTCTTCCATTTGCCAAGGCAGGGAATGTGTTACAGTATTTTCTGCAACTGATTATGCAGTTGTGTATGGTAGTGAGTTTATTTTCATCAGATACTTCAAAGCCTTACTTTTTAGGTCAGGAAAATATCCTTCTCTTAAAGCTTTGAAGTACAAAATAAGCAAAATGAACATAATTTGACTAAAATTAATTACTAATGCAAAGCAGAGCTTCTGATGGTGAGAGCATTGACAAAAGCAGAAATTGAATCTGGGAGTTCATGTTCTTCCTTTGCCCAAGCAAAGGCTCTGAAAATCAGTTCCAGAGGTGTAAAGCTTCTGTAGACATGCTTGATCTTTGGGCACATGTAATTCTGTTTTGTTAGGCTGAAATTTGGTTTAAAAATGCAAGGAAAAAATACTTTGCCAGCAGTTTCTGCAGTAAGGACAGAGGATGTTGTTTGCCTCTCTGGGTGGATTGGCAGCTTGGTGTTTGGGTTGCCAGCTTTGTTTTGTGACATCCTGTTTGTGAGGTGACCTTCTGCATGTTGTTTGAACCAGACAGTTTTCATGTAATCCCACAGAATGAGGAACCTGCCCTGTGTGAGGGTTTTTGGAAGCTGGGAATGGTTCAATGTTCAGGTGAAGGTTCATGGCTTGGGGTGTTCTCAGCCCTGCTCAGGCAGCCTGTCCACACTAAGCAAAATGCACCCCAGAACTTCTCAGGATCACAGGGGTGCTGTCACTTAATTTACAGAAATTTTATTTTGCTGATTGCATAAAAAGTTCTGAATACTCCCCTGAGTGGGCAGCAGGATGCAATTGTCAGGGGTTTGGTGATGTCCTGCTTTATTTGGAGGTTAGTCTGACTGAAACAACTGCTGAACAAGGTGTAGGAAATGGAGAAGAGAGGTCTTGCTATTCAAGAGAACAGTCTTCCCACCTTCTCTTTCAATTTTGAGGACTGTGGTCCTCACAAACCCATACTTGTCCTCACAAACCCATTCATGCAGACACCCAAAAGGATCATCCAGGTGGTGGCTGCTAGGATCTGCCTTGTAGAGCACGAGGATGTGGGCTCAGATTCTGGTTTGGTGAGATAAGGAGAATAAGAATGACAGAAGGAGCTCAAGTGTGACCCCGTGCATGTTCCTGGTAGTTTACAATGGAGCTTAGTGGGTAGGAGAGTGTATTTACAGAATAGCTGTCAAAATCCCTGAGTGTAAGCAAGCTGTAAATAAGTCTATAAAGTGTAATCGTTACTGGAGACTTTAAATCTGCAATGAGTGAAGGGCTTGCTTCAAGTTCATTCTTGTGTCTGCTTCCTTGCATGAGAAGTAAACAGAAGGATAAATCAGAAAGCTGAGTTTGTACATATATAGGCACATTGGAAGATATAAAAGCACATTGGAAGAGGATTGTATAATTTCATTTGTGTTTTCTGGAGCTAATGACCAAACTCTGCAGTGGAAGAACATCACTCCACACTCACTATGCTCAGGAGAGGGCAGAGGTAAAGCCTGGGATAATCAGTTTGCAATCAGACTGATTCTGGAAGGACAAGGAGGGGCACAAGATCAAGTCAAAAGAACACAGTAGGGCAGGCATTCAGAAACCCTTGAGGTAAAAAAGGGTTTTTGCAGTAGACAGCAAGCAGGAAAATTCAGGAGAATTGGTAAGGGAGATTCAGGAGAGTTGTTAAGAATGCAGTCAGGATTTTCAGTCCCACTTCCACGCTGAGTACATTTACTATCCTTACAATTTCATCTGCAATACTGTGAAATACACAAGACATACCTGAGATATTTCTAAAACTTTGTGGTTTTCATGTGCATATTGCTATGGTTTTGTTTAAAGGGAAAGGTTAATGAATACACACTCTTCTGTTTTCTTAATCCAGTCTCTATGGTTTGGTAATCTAAATTTCAGAATTGTGAACGAGATGGGTGCTGTCCTCTGAAATCCTCTTCTGTTTCTGTGGTATTTGGTAAAGCACAGCAACTGAAATCCTCTTCTGTTTCTGTGGTATTCGGTAAAGCACAGCAAAATTGTGCTGTTTGCTATTAGAGCTACTGTGGAAAAATTTAGGTGTGCTTTAGTGAAAGAGATAAATAAAGCAAAGAAAGCCTCCCCAGCATCCAGCCACTTCAGAACTGATGGGGACACTCCTGATGTTCCACTTTCCCAGCTGAGGGATTCTACCACTGAGAGAGAAAAGAAAGCACTGACTCAAAAATAAAAAGGGATGTTGACGTATCAATATATGTTTCCTAATAAATATTAATATGTCATTGCAGTTTAATATATCTTTTACTGGAAGGGAATATTGTTTTAAAGATGGAAGAGGTAAATCCTCATTAATATTTCATATATTTATTAATGAATTAATTTTGAGGCAGTAGGTAGTGAATGAAATGTATAAACCCCCCCAGTAATGGTGGCGTTTTAATTTTAATGCGAAAAACCTTTACTAGAGCCACATATTTTTAGATTCAATTACCTTGGAAAGTTGGCAGTGCAGCTAGTGAGCAAGTTTTGGGAAGGTTCTCCCACTTCAGTGAGCAAATCGGGGGAGAGTGAGGGAGTTTGATTCATGACTTGACTTTGGGGTCAAATCCAGTAGGCTTATTTCTTTAGTTAAATCATTCACTTTCCCAGGTTAATTTTAACATTCTGGGTAGGCTGTTCAGGTTGAGGCTGAAACTGTTCTTTTTATAATTGGTTTCTGCAGGATCTTGCTACTTTGAACTGTCTTGTATTACACAAAAATGTCAGACCTTCCTACTCTGCCTAAAAGTGTTCCCTACTGCAGTCCCTTGTGTCTAACTTTATATTTTCTTTTTAAAAAGCAGAAATGTGGCTTATATGGCCATCTTATGTAGAGGATATTTTATAGGTGTTTATTTGATAGAAATTTCTGTTCATTTCTCTCGTATTATTGAAATAAAACTCCTTTGGTAAAACTGAAATTTGAAGGAGAACTTAATATTGTTTCTCATTTAAATTGTGTATGAATAAATGATTACAAATTGACAGATGTGGCTTGTAGTGATTCCTTTCTTGAGTGAAAAACCAATTTCTATTTCCTTCTTAATTTAGGAACTTAAAATTATAAGAGAGAAAAAGAGAAAATAGATGCAGCCGCAACACAAACAAAATGAACTATGAATTGAAAATTTAATCACTGCTTTTGTTTCCAGGGCTGTGTAGCATTGCACTAAATGCAGATGAACCAGCTTTTACTTAGGGTTTATTGGTAACAGAGGTGCTGAAGGTGGGTTTGTGGAAATGCAAAGTTCTCCAGTGTCCCTGCTGAGGGACCTAAACACCTCCTGCTACTGATGCTTTGTTGGGACTACCTAAAACCAGACAAAATTGAGAGAATAAAAAGCTGTTGTATTTATTGAAGGACCTTCAGGTACATTTCAGGCAGAAGAAGCCTCTCCAGAGACCACACCAAACACAGATGATGGATCATGGTTTTAACTTGGGCCTTTTTCAGAGGGCTCACCCAGAGGATTCACTTGCTAGCAGGCTTTTATTATTCCATTAAACAGCGTACAATATTTTCTGCTTTAATTTGTTTTGAAATAATTCAGCCATACTTTATAATGCCTTATGGAACTCATCAATATTGCCTGTGTATCTGTCTAATGAGAGCTCAGTAAATTACCATATTCATTAAACAAACAAATTACTGTTCTTTTAGTAATAGGTGACTGCCTGTTTTTCAACAGATGAGTGATGTCAACTGGCATCAGTTGGTTTAGTGTGCTTTGTTACCTACAGGTAGGTAATCTGTGGTTGGTAATCCTTGCTTTATTAGTTTTTATTAAAATAATCAGTGCTGCCTGGTGATGGGAGATAAGTTGTTTCTCTTAACTAAAAAGGATGAGATCTCTAAATATACCTTGTTTAGCTTTTCAGTTAAAATAGATTCCTTCCCTAAAATTGACATTTTACTAGTTTAACAAAGCTCTTCTTTGTTTCTTTCATGTTTGTCACCATTTTTTTTTTCTGCTATGATGCACTCTGATTCCTCTCTCTGGTTTGCAGCAGCTCCTCTTAAAAAGAATCTTGCAATGTGTGACAAGAGAAATTGGGCTTGTCCTTGAACTGTGGGAAAGTATTCAGGGTAAGATTTAACTAAGCACTTGTTTTGATTGCCTCAACTAGAGCTAAATGGTGACACAAGCACCTAATGCATTAATAAAAACAATCCTGTGATTGTTTCAAACTAGATGTCTGCAGTTCTTCTGGAGTGTTGCTGTTCTGGACAGTGAATTGCAGTGAATGTGAGTAGTTGCTTTGGAAGGAGAAATGCTCTTGAGCAGGGAGTTTGGTTCTTTGTCTTCCCCTTGGTTTGCAGCCGGTAATGCAGTCTCATTTTCAGGAACGAGAGCTTCTGAGCAGAGGTGGTAGCCTGTTTCACTCCTCTGAAGTTGTTCAACTTGGAATTCTTAACATTTATGCTTTCCAAGCTCTTGACCACCCTCTCAACTCTTTGAGTCCAATTTTTTAAACAATTTACCAATAGCAATCCTAATAATTATAGTAACTGTGAGCTCCTTTTATGAACAAGCCCACGTTTCTCTTTTCTGTATTTTGTGAGTATATGAAGAGAACCATTTAGTTATTTAACACAGGCCTCTTGTTTCAAAGAGTCATAGATGTTAGGAATAGTAGCAATTATCCACTAGGCGATCCAGATTTACTAAACAAAAAGGTAGGGCCATACTTCATGTGTGTTTTTTATTTTATTTGAAGTTAGGTTTCATAAACCTTTGTTGCATGGACAGATGTCACTTGTTCTGAAAAGTGAGTATGTGGTTTATTGGTATAAAACAGTAAATTACCCTGCAGTTTATTGATCAAAATGCTTCAGCCTTTAGAAAACTGGGAAATGTGATAGGTAATTTTTTTCTGTGTATTTTACTGTTCAGGGTATTTTGTGTGCTATATTTTCAGGAATAAATATGGAACTCAAATGCCTGTAGCTGTTAACTAGAGTTTGTGTGTGGGTTTTAATCAGTTCAAATGAATTCCTATTTTTAGGAATAAGTAATGGAAAGTTAAAAGGTCTTCAGCTGTACCTGTAGATTTAAACCCAAATGCTCTTGTTTAAGGCCTGGTCTGCTGATGGTGCTTTGGTACAGACTAAAAAATAAGCAATTCCTGACTGCTGTGAACAAAAGTACGGAAACTGATTTTAGTCAGGGAAATATTCAAGGCTTCTTCCTAAACTAGCTCACAGAAGCAATTTTATCCCTCATAAATACATCACAGAGGTCTAGAGTGAGGCTTTGATCATAATCTCAGTGTTGGATGAGGCTGCTGGAGCTGCTGGCACCAAAGGGACCTCGCTGCCATATGGCATCCCAGCCAAAGCAGGCAATTTGGGATGGGCATGGAACACTCTTTCCTCTGTGGCTTTTAAACAGCATGACCTGGATGCTAGCTCCTGCTTTGGAAGGTGAAAATTGCTGGTTTGTGGCAGCCAGCAGGACATTAGTTGGGAAGGACATTTTCTGTCCTGTTGTACCTAATGTGCCCCCAGGTTTGCAGTGTTGGCCATCTCTGGAGAGAAGGGGATGTGTGGTGTGGCTTATGGGACAGCTTAAAGCCCATCAGCCTTACCTCTTTTCAGTTTATTTTCTTCTTCAAAGACTTGCTTTCCCTAAAGAGCCTATTTTTGCATTCTCTGACTATATTTGTGGTAAACTTCTGTTTAGTGTAGTGCCATTTAGCTGCATTTTTGTTTCTTCTTGGGTTAACTTACTCATTTTGTGGGCACTGCCAGCAAACTGAAATAAGTGCTTTAGTTTGTTTTCTATATACCTATGTGGTATATTTTAAATACATGACCTAATAAAATGTGTCTGTACCTGCAGTGGTTTATATAAGGGTATTCAGTTTAGTTTATTTCTGATGGTTTCTTTTTGAGAGAAACTTCTACATCTTTGTCAATTACAGAGACTGTATGTCAATAAATATAATAAAGGTTTATGCCTCACATTGATGAATGGTTTGCTCTTTCATTACTGTCATCTTTGTGTATCTGCTTTCCTTCATATGTGCCTGGAAATGTATTACA